TGTCTAAAGCTTTTGACACTGTGGATCATGACATCTTATGTCATGAACTCTCAGAAATTTGCTTCTCAGAACACACCATTGGTTGGTTCTCTAACTATCTCTCAGATCGGAGGCAATGTGTTCAACATAATGGTACTTCTTCCAGTTATTTAAAGGTTAACAATGGTGTACCACAAGGCTCAGTTTTAGGACCCACCCTCTTCACAATTAATTCAACCTTTATTTATACAGGTTAATCCCATAGGTAATGTAGGTTACATCATCCCTGATGCATCCTTACATTTTTATGCTTATGATACAGTTGTTTATTGTCCAATTAAAACAGTTACTTAGTTTTTCCAGCTTTTACAATCTGCTTTTGACATCATCCAATCAGATTTGTTCCATCTCAAACTTGTGCAAAAAGCCGAAAAAAACTAAAGGTATGCTGTTTTCAAACAGGAAGTTGGGTCCCAGTAGTCCTTCCCTCGATTTTATCTTCAAATGATGTTCCTATTGAGTTTGTTGATTCTTACAAATACTTGGATATATTGGTCAATTTGCATCTGTCTTTTAAGCTCCACATCGAAAATTTGGTAAAGAAACTGAAAGTTAAAGTGGGTTTCTTTTTCAGAAATAGATCCTGTCTAACTTTAAATGCTAGGAAATGCCTTGTAACTGTGACTTTCCTTCCCTCCATTGACTTTGGTGACATTATTTACATGAATGCCCCTACAAGCACCTTGCAGATGTTGGACGCTGTCTATCACGGTGCGCTAAGATTCATAACTGACTGTAACTACCGTACCCATCATTGCACCAGTATTCAATTGTTAACTGGTAATCATTAACTTCACACAGACTCTCTCACTGGTACATTTTCATCTTTAAATCACTCCTTGGTCTATTGCCTTCATACATCTCCTCCTACATGTCATTGCGTGAGTGCAGCTATAGCGTGCGCTTTCAGGACATTATTACCTGAAATGTTCCCTCAGTGTGGACTGAACTAGGCAAAAGGGCCTTCTCCTACTCTGCTCCTGTTTCCTAGAATGCCTTGCAAAATGATCTGAAGCTCTCGACCTCGACTCTCTTAATTGGCTTCCAACAATTGCTAAGTTCATGGCAAAAACCAATGCAGACATGTTCCTCCATCCATCTATCCATCCATCCATCCTCTTCCGCTTATCTGGGGTCGGGTCGCGGGGGTAGCAGCTTAAGTAGGGAGGCCCAGACTTCCCTCTCCCCAGCCACTTGGGCCAGCTCTTCGGGGGGAATCCCGAGGCGTTCCCAGGCCAGCCGAGAAACATAGTCCCTCCAGCTTGTCCTGGGTCTTCCTCTGGGTCTCCTCCCGGTGGGACGTGTCTGGAACACCTCACCAGGGAGGCGTCCAGGAGGTAAATGGTAAATGGACTGTACTTATATAGCGCCTTTCTATCTTATTTCAAGATACTCAAAGCGCTTTACACTACAATCTGTGTCCTCATTTACCCATTCATACAGCACTCTACTAGATCTCTACAAAGCTAATTGAACAAATCGTTCTAAAGAGACTAATCAGAGCTTTAGATCACATTCATACACTGATGGGATACACATCAGAGGCTATGAGGGGTTCAGTGTCTTGCCCAGGGACACTTCAACATGTGACTGCTGGTGGATTCGAACTCCCAACTCTCGCATTGGAAGACGACTGCTCTAACCACTCAGCCACAGCTGCCCGCAGTAGGCATCCTAACCAGATGCCCAAGGCACCTCAACTGGCTCCTCTTGACGTGGAGAAGCAGCGGCTCTACTCTGAGTCTCTCCCGGATGACCGAGCTTCTCACCCTATCTCTAAGGGAGAGCCCAGACACCCTGTGGAGAAAATTCATTCCGGCTGCTTGTATCCAAGATATTGTTCTTTCGATCACAACCCAAAGCTCATGACCATAGATGAGGGTAGGAATGTAGATCGACCTGTAAATTGAGAGCTTTGCATTTTGACTCAGCTCTCTCTTCAACACGACAGACCCGTACAGTGTTCACTTCACAGCAGACGCTGCACCTATCCGCCTATCGATCTCTTGCTCCACTTTTCCCTCATTCGTGAACAAGACCCCAAGATACTTAAACTCCTCCACTTGGGGCAGGACCTTCTCCCTGACCCGGAGAGGGCACTCTACCCTTTTCCGGCTCAAGACCATGGCCTCGGATTTGGAGGAACTGATCTTCATCCTGGCTGCGTCACATTCGGCTGCGAATCACTCCAGCGAAAGCTGTAGATCACAACCTAATGAAGCCAATAGGACCACATCATCTGCAAAAAGCAGAGACGCGATCCTAACGTCACCAAAACAGGTCCCCTCATTACCTTGGCTGCGCCTAGAAATTCTGTCCATAAAAGTTATGAACAGAATCGGTGACAAAGGGCAACCTTGGCGGAGTCCAACTCTCACCGGGAATGAGCCCGACTTACTGCTGGCAATGAGGACCAAGCTCTTACACCTGTCATACAGGGACCTAACAGCCCATATCAAAGGGCCTGGTACCCCATACTCCCATGGTACCCTCCACAGGGTTCCCCGAGGGACGCGGTCGAACGCCTGTGATCGAATCCACAAAGCACATGTAGACTGGTTGGGTAAACTCCCACGCACCCTCCAGGACCCTACTCAGGGTGTAGAGATGGTCCAGTGTTCCAAGACCAGGACGAAAACTGTGCTGCTCCTCCCGAATCCAAGGGTTGAACCCCCGAATAGACCTTACCAGGGAGGCTTAAGAATGTTATCCTCCTGTAGTTGGAACACACTCTATGGTCCCCCGTTTTGAATATGGGGACCACCACCCCGGTCTGCCAATCAAGTGGAAGTCCCCCCGATGTCCACGCAATATTGCAGAGTCGTGTAAGTCAACACAACCCTACAACAGCCAGAGCCTTAAGGAACTCCGGGCAAATCTCATCCACCCCTGGGTCCCAGCTGGGATTTGATCTGGCGAACCTTCTTACTGAGAGGTAACAGCTCTACCAACTGTGCCACCATGCCACTCTCAAAGTGGAACTAGATTATTATTAATATTACTAATGAAAAATATCATAACACTAAATAAAATTGGTTTGACATGTTGTAACTAGTTTGTGATTTAGTTTGAAACCACAAACATTTTTAAGTTTTACACTATTTCATTTAAAGAAAGAATCACACACATTAACAGTGACCAGTTAAAACGGACATTCAAACTTTCATTCAGTATTTGTATAAATATTATTTCCAGATCTGTTTGTCATTGATGGGTCTAAACACCCAGGTTGTGATTCATCCACCACTTAGGGATGGGGCCGATTCGATCCGGTATTGGTATTGGCCTCTGATACCAGCATACTTCACGTATCGGATTTTTCCGATCCAACCTGCATAGATTTCCAATTCATGATGCATGTCTGTGTCTGCTGGAACGTCTCATGTGATTCCCTGCCATTTTTTTTTCATTCAACCTTTATTTAGACAGGTAAATCCCATTGAGCCTCGAGGACTCATTTACAAGAGAGACCTGATTTCAACAAAGAATGATGACAACAATGGACAACAGCGACAACAATAAACAGTTATAAAAAGTCATACACATTTTTTGCCAGCTGCTCTGCACATTGGCTTCAAACTATGGAATGGTTTTCCTGAACAGAAATGTGTCTCATGAACCCAGAGTAATAAGACCCGCCTCACATTAAGGAAATCCTGCATTTCATAGTTTGCAATCAGCTAAAACGTGCAGAAGCACTGTGGCTAACGGCTAACCAACTTTTCATCTAAACATGTTCGCTGTGTGTAAGTATTTTACACTAGAAACACCACAAAACAAGACAGCAACGTGCAATGTCTGCAGAGCCATAGCACCACAGTAAACTGTGGTAAAGTTATTTTTACGTTGGACATTCAAGTTCCGTGGCTTCAGCGAGGTGCTACTCTTGCTCAACCCGAAGAAGGCAGTCTGATTTTGGTCAGCTGTGCCCAATCTGCCCCGTTCAGTCTGCCCCTCCTCTGAGATGGGCAGACTTAACTCTCACTGGTGCATTTTCATCTTTAAATCGTTGTTGCCTTCTTACATTTCCTCCTACATGTCACTGCGTGAGTGTGACATGTAGGAGAGCGTGTGCTCTCAGGACATTATTACATGCAGTGTTCACTCTTTGCAGACTGAACTAGGCCAAATGGTCTTCTCCTACTCCGCTCCTGTTTCCTGGAATATCTTATAAAAAGAAATGAAGCTCTCAACCTTGACTTCTCTAAGTGGCTTCAAACATCTGTTAAGTTCCTGGAAAAAAACAATGCAAATATGTTCTTGTTTTTAGTTTTTTACACCGCCTTACAACCTAGCTGTTTTTGTTACGTTTTCTTTTAAATACCATTTTCACTTATTTTCAATTTGTATGCATCCTTTATGACTGTCTGTTGTTGCCATTGTTGCCTACTGTTGTCATCACTCTTTGTTAAAACCAGGTCTCTCTTGTAAATGAGTCCCCAAGGCTCAATGGGATTAAGCTGTATAAATAAAGATTGAATGAAAAACTACGGGTTGAATAGTGCACCCCCCAAAAAAACCTAACTGATTCTACACAAGGCTATAATTGGGATTTCCAGACTCCAAATCTGCTGACAACCAAAGCTCTCAATTTCTAAATTTCTCAAGCTAATTTTCAAGGCCTATAGCAGAGGCAACCAGTAGCGTGGATCTCAGTAGCTACTGACTTTTTTCCATTTATGTTGAAAAATACTGTGATTGTTGCATCATTTGTCTGAAGTGTAGGGTTAAAAATGTCATTAAGCAAATTCAAAAAACGTTCAATACAAAAACAACTGGACTTTATTTGTAACAGAAGACATTTCGCTCCTCATCCGAGGAGCTTTCTCAATTCAAATTGAATTCATCATGTCCTGGATGACTGAGAATCTTCACCAGCATATGTCATTAAGCAAAAGTTTTTCTTTTTTATTTCTAAATTTTTGAGTCTCTCTTAATTCTTCCTTCGTTTGTCTGTCCAGTTGGTGTTGTTTTCAGGAAAGCTCAACACCATTGCCAGCATTGTGACCATCTTCTTTCTGCTGGTGTATGCTGCAGTGGACCTTGCTTGCCTTGCCCTGGAATGGGCCTCTGCACCTAATTTCAGGTATGCTTAGTAGATTCACACACCCTGCCTTTGTCTTTTTCAACTCTGCTGTTGTCTATAAATTTGTGGGTGTTGTTTTTTTTCCTAGGTGGACACTGCTATGAGGCAGTATAGTAATTAAAAGACATAAAACTGGCCAATGCTTAGAGCCTTATATTGGACAGGGACTGACAATAAACTGTGACCGTGTTTGTTGTTGTGTGGTTATACAGCCTGAACTGGATGTCGAAGTAACGACGCATGGCGATGCTTAGCGATTAAAATTTACGGTGTTGCTATGAGTTTGGTGTACATGTTTGTATTCCCAGGAAAACGTGCAGTTATTCTGATTTATAAAACTTCTCTGAAACTATTCTCACACCACTTAGTATAAAAACAGTGGATGTTTAAGTGGCTGAATGATATTGTGACACAGCCACAGTTTGAAATCTGACTCTCTCTGCACTTTCTTATGAGTCTTTTCACATTTCTGTGTGACCTGAATACGATGTGCAAAAAAATCTTCAAAGTTCAATACTTTTTTATTCACTTGCAGCATTTAAACAGCTTCAGTTTTATTTGTTATGGGGAAAACCGTTAAAACATCACATATTGCTTTATTGCCATGACAGATTACATCCACTGCTGCTTTAAATGTTGGATATTCTTCTACAGTGATAGTTAGAAATGAGTCACGAGGCATGAAAGAGCACTTGCTGCTTTCTAAATCAAAGGCACATCAGTTGAGTGTGACTAAATATAACACAGCAGTAAACATTGTAAACATAGAGTGTTTGGATGCCATAGAAAGTAACTCTCAGTTCAACAAGGGCTTCTTGCAATAAAGATTTCTCTGCATAAAAGGATTTGTTCACTTGTTCTCTGAAGGTTTAGTTGGGTAATGTGAGTGGTTTCAGCTGATAGCTGTGTACTAAACAGGCATGGGCCAGTAAGAGATTTTGATAGGATGGTAATCTTGAACAGAATACCATGATGTCATAGTTGTTTAATACTGAAAGATTAAAAACACAACTTGTTTTCTGTTATTTAAAAAGAACAAATGTAAATATTATTACTACTGCTACCTAAATTATTTCACATATTGTTTAAATTTGTTTTATTCTAGTTATAGAGTTCTAAGTAGAGCCCAACCGATATATCGGTAGGGCTGCTATTTTACGCTGATATAGGTGTTTGGGTACCTAACGGTATCTATGATAATTGTCCCATTATGCACCGATATAAACACTTCTAATTTTCACCCCTAAAATGTTGGAACCAGCTGTAATTGTGCAATGTATCCAGCAGAGGGCGCATGAAGGCTACGTTCAAGTCATGGCCCTTCACTTAAGTTTCACTTTCACATTCAGCATAGATGAAGCAGAGAGCAATAATATGTAGCGTATTTTCCTGAACAGAGCTTGGTAAGTTTATTTTAACTGATCTGTAAACTAAATCAACAATAATAAATTCTGTTCAATCCTCCAGCCCGCTTGTCATTAGCTTTGTGTCTCTCAAGTTAGCAAGTTAATGTTTAGATAACCTAGCATAGGCTATTGCCTTGTAAAACTTTAGCCAGAACAATAAATCTAACGTAGCAGTATATATCAGTGTTAGTAACATTATCTTTGTTATCCTAAATTAAATGCATTATTTGTCTGAAATCTTTACTTCTTTGTAACGAAAAAAAAATGCCCCTGCGGGCAATACTATTTAGACCTTCACCATACGTGCCTGTTTAAACAATGACCAGGGAAAAGTGTTTCTTTGTTTAATTTATATTTGTGTAACACACTTGATAACTTTATAGTGAATGGTGGAGGATAGAAAAAGTGAACGCACGTTAGGAAGACTGTTTTCCAACCAGTGCACCACTTGTAAACCTACTGTGGGTCTACGTATAGCGTGGATCAGATTAGCTTAGCTTCATGACTGCTAACAGCTGTGTAAAATAAACAAGCCCCACTCCACTCGCTGTTTTTTAGATTTTTGGGGGTGGAAAAAGCAACAAAAAAAAAA